AAGGAAGGAAGGAAGGAAGGAAGGACGTAAGGAGGGAAGGAGGGAAGGAGGAAGGAAGGAAGGAAGGAAGAAAGAAACACTATGAGCTAAAAGGTGCTCTTTTCATTTCTGATACTCATTTTGTTACCCACAGTAAGACAAACCCCACTGTAAAAAAACAACAACAACAAACATACAAATAAATTCATTGCCCACATACTCCCTGGCGACGGCTTGTAATCCTCTTTTGGTTGTTCATCCTGCAATTGATCAATAACTTCTTTGTTTCGTTTTCCTCCAGATAAATGCCTTGCATTTAATACCATTGGAAGAGGTTTTTGAACAGGTGAATGCTTTCTTGGCTGTTGAGTTCTACTGCTTGTTGGATTTACCGTTGTTGGTAGAGGTTGGCCGCCTGTAATCAACAGATACAATCATTAAAAAAACTTTTATCGATATCCTGAAACAGTTCTTTGGGCTGATCTAGCCTCCTACGCAGGCGTCTTTTTGCTTTTTCCTCTCTTTTCCTATTCTAGGTTTCCTGTGTTGGCTGAGAGTTGACCGAGCAGGACTAGTACTCCTTTCTTTCCCTCCCTCGCTCGCCTTAGTATTCCTCATTTTCACAACAGGATACCCATCCCTCTTGAACAGCAACAAAAACCAAACCAACAAAAACCTTAACGAGTAGCCTGCGGAGGAGACTAGGTCTGATCAAAGTCAAGGCACTATCAGCTAACTGACAGATCCATTTGGAATTTAGTATGTTTTGCTGAGGAAAGAAAACCAGAAAAACCATGAGAAAATCCTTGAATCGAGGGAAAGTGGCCTAACAAACTCTTCTCACATCTGATGCCAAGTCTGGGAATTGAAGCACTACTGTACCTTCCCTGCTAGCAGAGTCTCTCCTCTTTCTCTCCCTTCTTTCAGGCGGGGAGGAAGGAGACTCTGCCGATGTAGAGCGTTTCCTTTGATACACCGCCGTCCACGATCGTGGACAAACAAAACCAGTCTTAAAACTGGTTTTTAACCAGGTACATGTAGTGCGCATGTATTGAGCAAATGTAACACACCGTGGCACCAAACACCACTTCACAAGAGCGGCTGTCAAAATCATGACACGACAGAAATAACGTCAGAAATAACGACAGAAATAACGTCCTACATCGGCAGAGTCTATTTTTCTCTCTCAACCAAAACAAAAGGAAAATAGGCTCTGCTAGCAGGGAATACTGTACCACTATTCCACCTACATGTATGAGTCTCAATGCTGCCCATGATAGAGTTAAATAGCAGGGATTCCAAATTCTGAGAGGATTGACAAAACACAAGAGAAGCATCGTACATATCTATTTAAGTGTATCTATATAAAATTAAACATATATTTGTATGTCTGCCTATTTGTAGTTCCACTTCAAAAGGGTGTCTGCCTAGAGAGGGGTGGGGTGGGGTAGAGGAGAATGGGGAGTGAGTAGGGAGGGAGGGGTAAAGATGCTGTCGGCCACATGAGACCCCGATACTTTCTCCTTTCTCCACTGCAACATCAAAGTGTCTACAAAGAATGGATAGGCTTAAGAAAGTTAATCATATTGTTAAATTATACAGTAGTGTAGCTAGCTTACTTGACAATTTTTCATTGAGTTGTCTTCGTTGGAAATTTGTGAGCTTAGATTCTTCCATCATGACTATAGTTAAAACAATAGACACAAAAATTATTACTAATGGGCAAAACAATTATGTAGAATTTATTCCGATTCGTGAATGAGTTCAGTTCACATTTGTCAACCAAGTTGTTGCTACGACAATAATATCTGGGGAAAAAACAGCCCTAAAAATCCGTATATGAAGCAGAATATGTATAAATATATAATCCTTGAGATTGAATAATTTACCTTTAAGTAAGTTTTGAGTTTCTTTGCTTACAGGAGCAGCTTGTGTGCTCCATAATCCCCCCTTAGCAACTGGCTGTCGTTTGGCCGCCATTTTGTCGCGTCCAAAAACCAGAATATGAAGGTGTCCGAATCTCATCCGAAAGCTTATGATAAAAACCCGATCACTTCCGAAGAAATTTCGAGTGAACCAAAGTATGGCGCATAATGATAAAACTCTCATATTTTTGCATGTAAAACATTATTATGTCATTTTCTTTAATAATAAAAAAATGAAGTCGAAAAGTTTTCTTACTGCTGCAAAATATTTTTTTTGACAAATTTTATTTACTGTAAAATTTCTCCGACTGATGGAAGATAAATATCCGAGGTTTTTCCGAATTTCAAGCTCACTCGAGCGCATGCGCACATTAACCTTAATGGCGATTTTGAAAAATATGGCGGTAAAAATTGTGTTCAGTAAATAAATAATTTTTCATGTCTTCAAAACGTGAGTATTACAGAATTTTTATCAAACATTTTAAACGTAGGAAGGCAACCTTGCATAGGACATTGTAATTTTACCCATTTGATTTTTCTTTGTTCACAAATTTACGAGGAAACCTTTTTGAAAAGTTGAAAGTTCTGTTGACATATTTGAGAATTTGAAGATAAAAAAATAATTTTTGTTGTTTTTTTTTGGACAGTTTGGCAACATCCTTTTGTCAACGTGCTGAAGCACTTTGGGGTCGGTGAGTGGAAAAAATGTACCAAGGAAGGAGATGTCAGTCCAATAATGGTAATATTTACGATACGTACATATCATGGCCGCCTTGTTGGTTGACGATAACAAAGAATTCCTCATTAGCTTCTCTTGCTAGATCAACCAACATGGCGGTTGTTTGAATGGTATCCTGCTATCCTTGGAGTGCATGTTAACTACATCATAGCTGATATGTTGGTTGGCAATAACAAAGCATTCCTCATTAGCTTCTCTTGCTAGATCAACCAACATGGCGGCTGTTTCATTGCTATTTTTTTCTCAAGGGATTTTGAGTCATCAGTTGCTTCTCAAAAATCCTTGGGGTGCATGTTACATCAAAGCCGCTATGTTGATTGACGGTACAAAGCATTCCTCATTAGCTTCTCTGATAGATCAACCAAGATGGTGGCTGTTTCATTGTTATTTATATTTCAAGGGATTTTGAGTCATGTGGTTGCACCCCGAGTAGTAGAGATGTTCTGATAATTCCCTGCTAGCAGAGTCTCTTCTCTTTCTCTCCCTTCTTTCAGGCGGGGAGGAAGGAGACTCTGCCGATGTAGAGCGTTTCCTTTGATACACCGCTGTCCAAGATTGTGGACGAACGAAACCAGTTTTAAAACCATTTTTTAACAGGGTTCATGTAGTGTGCATGAGCAAATGTAACACACCAAGGTGCCAAACATTGTTTGACGAGAGCGCCTGTCAAAATCATGACAGCGTTGCTAGGTTACGCCTTGCACGTGCGACAAGTATAACTTCCTACATCAGCACAGTCTATTTTTCTCACTGATCCACCAAAACAAAAGGAAAATAGGCTCGGCTAGTGGGGAATTCTGATAATTACATGTAGATTTGTTTTCAGGAGCATAATGATTGTTGATTCACCATTTTCAACAGGACAAGCAAATGAAAGGAACCATCTACAGAATCAGTGGATCAATTCCAGCCGGCAACTACATCCAGTTTCCTCGCACCACCACCCAAACTCTTGGTCTTACTGGACAATACCTTTACATCATGTTCAAGCCAATCCCTACCAAGTACTTTGTAGTTCACATAGATGTCGCTGCTAATGATGGCTCTGCCATCAGGATATCATTTTCTAACTTATTCAAAGAGTTCAAGTCTACTTCAACTTGGCTGCAGTTTCCTTTTGTGTCGAACCCGTCGCCGACTTCAGTAGAAGCAAAAACCACATCTGATATGCTTATTGCAAGTATGTGTGAATAATTTGCAGCATGTATATTAGAAAAGGAATGCCTGTATAAGTCAGTCAGACATGTGTATTTTAAAATTTGATTGACAGAAGTCTGGTAGCTCAGTGGTTAGACCATATGGCACCGGAATCACCAGGACATGGGTTCAAATCCACTTCAAGATTTTTTCTGAGTCTTTCAATTTGCAGCTGCACAAGTTGCTTCATATACTGCAAGGATCAGCTCAATTTGATAGAAATCTGGCATTCTGTCTCATTTACTAAGTTGCTTAATGCAAATGTAACCATAATAATAATGATGATGATAATAATAATGATAAAAATTCTTACAGTATAATAATTTAAGATTTATTTAATGATCCTTGTCTATTCTTAGATCTAGTTGGTACAGCCCCACAGTCAAGCCGCTGGTCTCTCCTTGTTCTAGACCTCCATTATATCCTTTCGGCTTACCTCAACCTGTCCTACGCCTACCTTAAGAACATTCGCCTTTGTGCCAATATGTTCCTCAAGGGTGTATTTACCAGTGATGTGGATTATCAACCTGGATTGACATCTTCTGAAGCAAGAAAGCTTGGTCTGATTGCTGAAGGTGTTATCCCTCTACCTAAAGAAATGGCTTTCCCTTTGCCTAAGGGAGCAGAATGGCAGACATTGTATGACTATGTAAGGTTCCCTCCAGCAAAAACTGGTACTCGCTTGGGCATTATTACCAATTTAAAAGAAAAGAAGACAGATATACATGTACACAGTAAGAGAAAACAAGCTGTTAAAGAAGATAAGAAAACTAAAGAGGGTGATGTCAAATCCAAGGTAAAATACTATTGCAAGGATTTAATTAAATTGTATTTTATCAGGGTTTAAAATAACGTTTGGTAGGTCCCTGGTCATGGTGACCAGCCAAAGTAGTTTTAACTCGGCCATACATCCTTTCTGGCTAAACGTTACTTAGTAGTCAAAATGACCATTAAGTCAAATACTTTACAAGTTCCAAATCTGGCCAGAAATTGTCCAATGTCTGGCCGTTTTTTTAAGCCATGTTTGATACCCTAAACAAAGTATCTCTCATCTCTCTTTGTGTTTGAATGTTTAGGTCTACAATCAGGATTCCAGGCCCCAAAAACTAAAGCACCCTAAAGAAACAGAGGTAATATCTGAACCATTCACAGACAGACATGTCTATGCAACTATCAAGCGACCCAGTGTCCGTAAGAAGATTCCTTCAAAGCTAGAGGTAAGTTGATGATGGAACAACACGCAAACCAATGTTCAGAGTGATTTACAATCAGGCTAACTCTGTTATGTACAGGAGTGGTATGCATGGGTTTTCAGTCAGGGAAATCTGCAGTAAGCAAGTCAAACAAAATGTTTTTTATATTAAATTTCTTCAACAAAAAAAAAAAAAAAAAAATGGAATGTCTGTGTATGTTGAATCATTGCTCCTATGTTAGGTACGTTATAGTGAATTTTTTTTGAAGGTTTTTTTTAATATCTTTTCCAGTCTTTCACATATCACCCATCCACTTTACCACAAAAACACACCACCGTTACTGCTGACTCACAGGTATGTACGTATAAATAAAATAACTATTACAAATCTCGCTGTGCTTCTCCTAACACTTCTCTCATGTTCTGCCAACCCCCGCTTGCTTTATAACTGCACACAGCATGCGTGGCGTTTTCTAATTCTTCAATACAGTAGCCCAGCCAATCAGAGCGCAGGATTTGTGATAGTCCATCAGTAGATTTATATATACTTGTCTACTAAATATAGACTATATAGTCTTGTTTCTTATTCCTGAATATCACCTGTCAATACAACTACTTCTCAATACCCAGTTGAAGAAGTTGGATGGATATCGGCAAAGCATATTGTAAATGTTATGATACTAAACTTGATTATTGCAAGACTTTCTCATTGTCGGCTCTAACTTTCAAATCATTATATTATTTCTATGGTTATCAGCAAACCATATTGTAAACATTGTGATACTAAACTTGATTATTGTAAGGCTTTCTCATTGTTGGCTTTAACTTTCAAATCATCTTATCATTTCTATTAGAGTCTTAAACCAGATCCTATTCTGTCCCTGAAGAAAATTATTGGTTTTGGGGGAGGAACTTATAAAGAGGTGAGTTGTGCTTCTCTTTGCGCTTCTTTCTTCCTTCTTTTATTTTCTTTCCTTCTGTCATTTCATGTGTGCTGTCATTAATACTGATTATAAAAAATTTGAGATATAACTTGCATGCTGATTGGTTTGCTAACTTGTTTATATCAGAGGACAGAGATATGCTTGTGCAAATTTTATAAAAGCAATATAAAATGGTTGCTTATGTCTCTGTACTGTGATATAAACACTCTGGGAGGTGAAATGTGATGTCTAGGTTTGCCGACTAGCATTTCAAAGAACATCAACCAAAGAACTGAATTAAAAGAAGAAAAAAACATGATATTTTGATGGAGATTTTGGACTGAATACTAGTAAAAGATTTTAGTTTTTAATTTAGTCCAAAATCTTACTCAAGATATTGTTTTTTATTGCAATTCTTTGATTGACGGCCGTTGAAATACCAGTCGGCAATTGAGACATGAAACTTTGCGGGTCGCACTTCAACTATGATTGTAGTTATAATCTCCTTTATAATTATAACTAGTGAATAAAACTTTTGAGACACTGAATAAAACTATTAAAGCACACCTTGAGCTTTTGATTCCACTGCAATCTTGATCACAATAAATCGCGAGTAGTTGTTACACTCTAAGAATTAATTTCCTTTATGTTGTCAGGGTCTGTGGAATGTTAATGGTACAAGTGTTCTATATCCTTGCCATGCTATCATTGTATCCATGGATATAGCTACTGGTCGACAAGAATTCTTTATGGGACACACCGACAAGGTAATGTATGTACAGTATTAAGGTTAGGGCCAAAAATAATGGCTGGTCAATGAACAATTATGTCTGGCCAAAAGTGGCACTTGTATGGCCAAATGCCCAGTCACATTGACTGGCCACATTGGCTGGTCACATTGACTGGTCACATTGACTGGACACATTGACTGG